GGGAAAGTGCTCTGGAATCCACGGCCAGAGACAGAGATATTCCTTAACTCGGTGACACACAGCCCCGGGGATAAGCTCCAAAGAATTTAGTGTGCTCTTAAAAATTCAAATCACCTAAAAAATATGCAGGAGATGTTGTGGCCCTCGCAACGACCCACAGAAAAGTTCCAGCTTATCTAGTGCACCCGCAGATGCATGTAAAAATGGGAAACATATAAGGACACTGGGGAAAATTTCAAGGTACAGTTTTTCATTCTCTTATGAGCATTCAATTCTTTTTTCCTGCAGTGAATATAGATATGGGTCCTTTAACATGGAACCATTCAAATGCAATCCACCCACTGTTGCCCTCGCTCGACTCTCACGTTTAGTTTTCATAAATTTTCGCCATAAATATTTATGCTGGCGCTTCGAAATATGTAAAATTGGTAATTGGAAAATTTTTATCATACTGCCAGAATGTTCAGCACACACACACTGCCAACCACAAGCTATGGTTTCGGGCATGGTGGCTAGAATTTTGCTGCTGTAATTTCAGGTGGTGACCCCGAACGCGGTTAGATATCGAATTCCAATTATGCGTTGTAATTAAAATCGTTTCACAGTGCAGATCGCCTGACGAATTCAAGGGAAATTGTACTCCCCTTACCATTTACCTGACACATACATTTTTGATTTTTTCATTTTTTTTAATTCTTCCAAGCTCTTCAGGTTGAATTTCCTCTTGAGCTTTTGCCGCAAATACATGTGTCGTTACATCGAAATGGAAATATAAGACCCGGAAATGCAGTCGATGTGGAAGGAAGGAAAAATTCGGGCAGCAGAAAGTCGAGACGCGTATTTTTCAGCATATTAAACAAGCCAAGAGGTTCAAATGTTCCAGTTTCAGCAGCTCCTTTTTGGCTCTGGCTCCTCTGGTCCTTCAGGTCCTTTTTGGCTCTTTTCGACTCTTTTGCTCCTTGCTCCAAAGAGTTCGCTGGCTGTCTGGCTGTCAGACCACGTCGACTTCATCGTCTGCTTGACGTCTCATTTTTTCCCAGTTTTCTGGCTCCTTTCGCCTCCTTCGCGAAGCACATCCTTTTGGGTTTCTGCACGTTTTTTTCGGCTTTTCCTGCTACTGCTACAGCTACTGCTACTGTTGCTGACGCATGACGTAGGTGTCTAGACTTGCTAATGTTTCCTCTTGCTGTTGCAGTTGCAGCATGCAACTTCCGATGAAGTCGTAAAATCCATCCGTTGAGTTATGTTGCCTCAATTTTTGACCAGTTCCCAGGATCAGGCGTATGTATATGCTGTGTAGTGGCATCTCCATGGGATTTGCCTTTAAAAATTCTGCTCGTTGAGTGCTTTAAGTTGAAGACTTTCTTTTATTTTCCTTTATTTTTTTTGTGTGTGTGTGTGTCTTTCCAGGCACTGACATACTTCCCTTGTAAACCAACTTGTAATATATTCCCACGCCATTTCATGTCGAGAGTGTGCAAGAAAACACACAAACCTATATGGGATGAGTGCCATATACATGTATATAGTGCACTGTCCATGTGTGTGTTACCACATTTACAGTGAGCAGAGAATTGCACGTTTGTGTTTCTAGATTACAGCATTGTCTAGGTTTTTTCTACACTTTTTTTTTTTTTGCCAGGACCTGCTAGGGACTCAAGGGCCGGTGGCAGCCATGTCTATGGCTTTATTTTTACTATACATTTCTGTGTCGCCTTTCTCCGCCTGCCCCCTAGAATTTCTTTTTCGCTTTTTTACGGTACTACCATCATAAACTGGCATAAAGAAGAGCCGAGGGGAGCAGTGCCGAGCTGGGCGACACTCGGAATGAAACCAAAAGCGCAGCGCAGTAAAATGAAGTCTAAACTAAATCCCACATAAGGTACGAACGTGCTCAACACAAATGCCAGGTGCTTACAAAGACACAGAAGCATACACCCACATATACACATGGGTGTATTACAGGCTGTTTGCAGTTAACCTTATTGGATTTTTACTGTGAACACTGAGATATTGGGTATCTGTTCTTAAATAGATAAGTAAAACTATAATAATACCTTGAAAATAGTTCTTAAATAAAACAAGAGAGTTAAAGCATTATTTTCCTACATGTTCCCATTCAAACTGTTTGCATAATTTCTCGCTGTGCATTAACTATTTGTACTTGGCCCATAAGCACACGCCCTGAGTAAACTTGCCCGAAAGCCAGAGCCAAATTTAAACCCGGCCAACATCAGCCGCAGCTCACTTTGCATACATATGTCCCGTCTGCAGCGAAATCTCCTCTTTCATCTCCAGTTCCTCGAGCTCCAGCTTCAGCTTCAGCTCCTGGTCCAATCTCCATCTCCATCACCAACTCCAACTTGTCCTTTTGCCAGGCGCATTCGACTGGAAGCTGTTAAATATCGAACACATATTTATATGTAACGGGCATGCAGGTGGCCCAGGACATTGGCAAATGGCTTCGAGATTTGTGTGACAGTTACTGCTGCAGGACGGAGATAAGCTTGATGCATGGTCCAAGCCCAGCAGCCGGGCTTGAACATTTCCCGAGCCACAAAGTCGGCTAATGCACAGGGAGATTTTTTGTAGAGGATTTTGATTTGGAGATTTTTTGGTAAAGGGTTTTAGCTAAAGTTTTAGAATAAGATTTATTATGAAAACCATCTCAAACACATAGTACTATGTACTATGTTCATGGCCTATGTTCTATGTACTATGTTCATGGCCATATTGTTGAAAAAAAATCCTTTAACTCTATAAAAAAAAGTATTCTTGAGGCTCTTTTAGTCTTTAAAAATGAGTCCCGTTTTTACGTCCCAAAAAATCAGGAAACCCCTCAAAAATTTAAGAAAAAATGCTCATTACCGAAGCAAAACTGAAAGCTGCCTCTTTGCTTTTGAAGAGCCAATCATTGTTAAATTAACGCCATAAAAAATTACGCACTCTCCGGTACTTGCCGGCTCCAGTCTACGGAAAAGTGGAGTGACGTGAAGTCAAGTCAAGCAACCGCAACGCAACTGAGACAGAATCAAATAAAAATTAAGTGCTGACTCAGTTCGTCTGGAAAAAAAAGGAGCGTAGAAGGAAGAAAAACACTGTGCGGCATGCAAAGTGGAGATAAGAAAAAATGCTTCACCATAACAACAACAACAATACTAACAATAAGAGAGGGTGGTGGGTGTGAGGGGTGTGTGGGTGTGGGCGTGGCAAGGCATTTACATGACCGCAAACACCCACAACAATGGAAGACGCAGGAAAACAAAACTGTTGACTGTGCCGGAAAACTCCATTCACATGCCACATGTATATGGCCAGAAGTGTGAAACAAAAGTCGGACTTTAGTCCAAAAACTGTGACCATATGCGATGCCAGCCAGGTGTTTCAGCCGCCTGCTCCATGGAGATAGGGAGTGGGGAGCAATAGAGAATCCTACTAGAGAAGGAGATCCTTGGCCTGGCTAAGACAAATGATGCAAAATATATTTGGCCACCGTGCCACGGCAAAAACGGTGGTGGGGGCATATTTTTCATTTACCTGCCTGCCAGCATCAGACCTTTCCCGGCTCAGTACCCTCCTCTTGGATTTTTCCCCTCTTTATGGAGGTTTTCCCCATCCAAGAGCCTCCGTTGCCATTGGAAGTTAAGTATACGTAACGTAAACGCAAATTTAATGCTTGAAAAATTCGCTTAAATGGATTTAAGTGCCGCTTTCTTCGTTTTGCTTTCTGCTTTATATATATATACTTTTTTTTTTGCTTTTGGCCTTCTTGGCCGTTAGCCTAGCCTGACTGCCTGTTTTATCTTGGGCAGCAGATAAATGAAAATCTTCAAAAAGATGAAGTAGCGGTCGGCGAAAAGCAACAGAGGCCAAGAGCTGAGTAGACTTTTGTGTTTATTGGGGCTACTTATCGACTGAGCACAGTCAAGTGAGCTTTGGCCCCCAACTTTGACCTATTTGGGGGCCAAATCTTGGCCAAATGGATAAACAAAAAACAATTAGGAAAAAAAATTCTTTGACCTGCAGATGTGTATAACTAACACAAGTTAAGCGACTTTCCACTTAATTCTCTGCAAATAAAAGTACAAGCTCCGCCTCAAGCTCCCACACTCCAAATCCTGTTGAAACTGACTTTGTTTAGCTGCCTTTTATCTGGTTTATCTGGCCTATAATTTATATGCTGACGCATCATATAATCTTTATCCCGGGACAGAAGACGACGATGAAAAAAAAAAACCCTTAACCTTTGGCGCTGCCATTTAAATTTAGAGCCTTATCGTGAGGCGTAAATCGATGCGGAAAGCTCCTTCCACTCGCTCTGGGCCAAGAGGGAAATTTACGATTTACGGCTACAGCTTGCCACGTTCAACAAGCCGCATACATTTTTATGGCCAATTAAATTCCATAAGCCAGGCTAACCGTAACGAAAGCGGCCGGCGCCTCGAGATCTGTTTTTAGCCATAATCCCCCCTTTAAGTTTTGTCTATTTTTCTAAATCGATTGAGGACTATATGGTCGAATATGGTCGGTCACCGCTGGGGGAATGTCTCTGGTTGTATGTTAAGTGTGAAGTAATGAATATTAAAATGAAGTTTACAGAGCACAAGGACACTGGCAGCCACGCAACCATCGAAGGAGAGCAAATATTTTGACAGCTGTCAGTCGTGGGAAATGATTTCGCATTTCTGTTGCTTCCCATTTTTGCTTGGGCTTCTTTGGCGGAATAATGCGAAGCGTAGGTGCCGGGTGCTGGAGGCGTGGCAAGTTTCCCAGGACAGAGGAGACTTTTTCTCGTTTTTTTTCCCCTCCTCCAGGATCTGGAGGAGTGGCACATGCCAATGCCAAACTGATAGACAGGCAGACAACGTGCGACTGCCGCCTGACTGCTCTTTTAACACCAATTGCTTTTTAATGCATGCACGTTCTCATCTCTCTTTTCTTTTTTATAAAAAAAAAGAACAAACAACAAAAAACGAGGGCAAAAGAGGAAAAGAAATTGATTGACATTTTTGGTGAGCAGACATTTCGTCCTATTTTATATGCAAATCAGCAGGATACACACACACAGTAGCACGGGCATGTCAACTGGCTTCCCGTTGACAGGACAATAATAACGTTAAAATGTCGGGCATTTATCGTGTCCTCTCGTGTGCATGTGTTTGCATAAATGCCAGTGTGTGTGTGGGTTGAACTAATTGCACAAAATCAAAATCAATGCTTCGTCACAATTCAAAAAAGAAAATTTAGGTCCACGTCTAAGCTCCAAGCTCACTTTTTCTTCTTCTGTTTTGGTTCCGGAATCTTTGGCTCTTCCGGATAGGGCCACATGGGTGGCAAGGCGTCCCGGTACTCCAAAATGTACTGACGGCTCTTCACATAGTCGTTGATATTTTTGGGACTAACGCTTCTATGAGAAAGATCTAGGGAAAAATTATATAAATGCTAGAAGAAAGAGTGTAAGTGATGTTTCTCACTATTCTTGAATACGAATTCGGACACAGCTACTCCGACCTTGAAGGCCACATCACTGGCGTCCTTGATGGTGGGATAGAGAGCTCCAGAGTCCAGCCGCTTCTGCGATGTGTTTTTGCAAAGCTCATGAGCCACCACCGAGTACAGTTCATCCGGCAGGGTGCGGGCACTGGAAGAAATGGCCCCTAGTGCGATGCCCGGAAAGGTGAGACAATTGTTTGCCTGGGCGGGCTCGAAGCGTTTCCCGTCAATGACCACCGGCGGAAACGGCGATCCGGAACAGAAAAGCACTCGACCCTGTGGGGGGGTAACAAAGTAAGAGTAAGATCGTCAAGTTCTTTGGAACAGAGCCGAACCAACCTCAGTATGTGTGTAAGCCTGTTCGGCAGTACATTCCGATAGTACTGTTGGATTGGAAAGGGCAAAAACTGCTGGTTGCTTGTTGTGCTTGGCCATGTTCTTGAGCACCTGTTCGGTGAAAATATTTGCCTTGCCGGTGGCACCCAATAGAATATTGGGCTTCGCAAAATCCACTACGGCCGCCAAATCAGTCAGTGGCTCCACCGGCTTTTGGAAACGCTTCATTATTTCCGGTACATTTTCAGTATCGCAGGTCAGTAGTCCAGTGGCTTCGAAAACGTAAATATTTTTCGAAATAACGTCATCGGAAACGCCTCGACGTGACAGCTCGCTAACCAACATTTGAATAATTCCGACGGCTGCACTGCCGGCACCGACAAAGAGAAAGATGGTGTCGTCCAGCTTTTTACCAGTGACCTTCTCCACGTTGAGGAAACCAGCCAAACCGGTGCATCCTGTTCCTTGTATATCGTCGTTGAAGCAACAGTAAGAATGTCTATACTTATCCAAGAACTTAAAGGCATTCGGAGTGGCAAAGTCCTCGAAGTGAATGAGGGTCTGGGCGCCATAGCGATGGATTACCGCCTTTACAAACTCGTCAACAAACTCATCGTACTCAGCACCCTTAACTCTTGGCATGCGCAGACCCACATACAATGGATCTTGCAGTAGGTCCTCATTGTCGGTGCCAACGTCCAAGCAGATGGGCAGAAGAACCCTGGGCTGGATACCGGCCAAAGCCGTGTACAACATCATCTTTCCGCAGCATATGCCCATTCCATGGGCGCCCATGTCCCCCAGGCCCAATATCCTACCGCCGTCCGTGACACACACCGCCATCACGTCCTCCTCGACCCAGTTCTGCAGCACGTCCTTTATGTGGCCACGATCGGTGATGTTGATGTACATGCTCGTGGCGAACTGAAAGTTCAATCCGTAGGTCTCCACAATGTCGCCCACCGTCGGAGTGTAAATAATAGGCATACACTCGTCAATGTTGTCCCTGAGATATCGGTAGTAGAGCCTCTTGTGGCGAGTGTGTAGTGCGTTCAAGTAATGGGCACGACTTAAATTGTTGAGTCGGGCGTAAAGGTTGGCCTTGGCGGCAGCCAGCTGGTCCTCCATGGTCCGCACGGAGCCAGGAAATAGTCCGAGGATGCCCAACCGCTGTCGTTCTTCGATGGTGAAAGCTAGGCCCTAATCAAAAGAATAACCAATAAACTCAATGGGGATTCCAATTAAATGGTTCACTGTATTTCCAAGCAATGAAATACATTTCAGAAAGAAACACTGTCTATGCTGTCTACGGCTCCGGGGCATCCTCACCTTGTTAACTTCGCCATCTGCGATGACGCGCCATTCCAGACGCGCCCTCTGCCTTGTCTCGTCATCAAACCGGGTCAGACCCCGGCAATGCGAGATTACGGGTCGGGGTGCGACTCGCAGAAGGGAACTCATAAAGTGCTTCCCTTTCCGCAATGGCATGGTCATCCAATGAGCGGTATCGACTAAAGACTTGGAATTTTGACGAAAAAAATTTGGATAGATTTCTCCGAAATATGTAAAAAAAAGAAAGGATTAAATGAAATTAAAAGACAGACAGCCTACTTCTTTTTTTGTTCCTTGGGCGTAGGATTCGGCTTTGGTTTGGGCTTGGGATTGGGTTCCATTTCCGGGTACTCCCAAGTCTCGGGCAGCGAGCTACAGAAATCAAGCTGGTACTCATTCTTCAAGATATGCTCCCGAATGTCCTCCGGCTCTGGACTTAAGCGGGCCAGGCCTAAGGATATTTCTAGATATACTTTCCATTCAATTAATCGGACTATGCTCACCATTTTTGAAAAGATATTCGCAGACTTTAATGGCGATCTCGAGAGCCACCGCCTTGGCGCAGCCTATGTCCGGGTAGATCTTTCCGCTGGCTAGATCCTCTGGGCTGGGAATATTTGACAGAGTGTGGGCCGTAACCAGGTAGGCTTCGTCGGGAACTGTCTCCGCCTGAGCAGTCATCACGCCCAGGACTATGCCGGGAAAGGCAAAACAGTTGTTGGCCTGTCCAGGAGTCAGACGCTTTCCGTTAAATTCAACAGGCGGAAAGGGCGATCCTGCCGAATAGATGGCTCGACCCTAAAAAAAAGAGAAAAATAAAGGACTTTATATACATAATTTGCAGGAAGTTACCTCTGTAAAATTATAGGCCTGCTCGGCTGTACACTCGGCCTTATTGGTGGGATTGGAGAAGGCGAATACCCCTGGACGTTCGTGATTCTTTGCCATACTACGCAGAATTTTTTCGGTGAATAGCCCTGCCGCTGATGTGGCTCCCATAATAATGGAAGGCTTGATCTTCTCCACCACCTCCTCTAGGGACTTTATGGGTGCCATATCCTTGGCAAAGTCAGCTATATCACCGGGGATATTTTCATTCTTTTTTGTTATTAAGCCCTTATGATCGTAGACGTAGATATTCTTGGCAAGCTCATCATCAGCAAGACCCCGTGCTTTCAATTCCTTTTTAAGCAGAGCCGTCAATCCCATTACGGCACTGCCTGCCCCACAAAATAGTATAACGTGGTCCTGTAGCTCTATCTTAGTTATCCTTTGAATGCCCAGCAGTCCGGCAAGGCCCACTGCTGCCGTTCCCTGGATATCGTCATTAAAGTAGCAACATTGATCCTGGTACTTTTTCAAAAATTTAAAAGCGTTCGGTGTGGCAAAGTCCTCGAAATGGATCAGAGTCTCGCAGCCGAACGCCTTGAGTGCAGACTGGATAAATTCCTCAATAAAGTCCTCGTACTCCTTGCCCTGAAGTCGGTCCTCCCGCAGGCCAATGTACATGGGGTCCTCGCGAAGGTTGGCATTGGTAGTGCCGACGTCCAGGCAGACTGGAAGACATTTTTCGGGTGAAATCCCTCCCAACGCCGTGTACAGCTCCATTTTTCCCACACAAATGCCCATCCCATTGGCGCCCAGATCGCCCAGGCCCAGAATTCGCTGGCCGTCTGTCACGCAGATGGCCTTGACACTCTTACGATCTGGCCAGTTGAGCAGGACATCCACCATATGCCCACAATCGTACTTGGTTATGTAGACCCCGCTTATCCCGCGGTACAACATCCCGTAGACCAGGCAGGCCATGCCCACGGTGGGTGTGTAAATTATGGGCAGAACCTCCGTCACGTGTTCGGAGACATACTTAAAGTAGAGCCTCTCAAAACCCTGTCGCATAATCCTCAAATACTGATATTTACCAATGTTGGTTTTAATGGATCGAAAGTTCGACTCGAGCACATACATTTGGTCCTGCGTGGATCGGACACAGACGGGCAGAAGACCGTGGATATTTAAGCGCTGCCGCTCCTCCAGCGAAAAGCCCATGTACTATTAAATAATATTTGAAGGCTCTATATTTTCGAGAAGTAAGAAATTGGAGAGTCCTACCTTGTTGAATTTATTGCTGAAAACTATGCTAGTTGGCATTTTAACCATGTCCTGAGTGCAGGACATGCGGTTTTGCGGGCAGCATACTTTTGGCGTATTGTTCTCTGACCTCATCCGAGTCAACCGTGGGTGAATTAAAATCTTCCAGTAGTTCATTGTTGTGGCTTAATGCTGATTACAATTTTTCTCATTTAGTGAACCGAAAATTTTTCACAATTATCCTCTTTTAAAAAATGATATTCGTGTCATAGCCACTCGTGTCAGTACTGTGTGCTTACTTTTTATGGAAAAATAAGAAAATAATTAGGAAATGTTGCCATTTAAGGCTAGTCAATAAAAAGATTAGCTCATCAAAATAAAAACCAGCCTAATTCTGTTTTTTTTTTTGTCCAAAAAGTCAGAGTAAGGGCTAATTTGCATAGGGTCAGAAACTGCCTTGTATCTATCTGGGTATCACTCATTATGCATTATTATGGAAATCACTTTTCCAACTGCCGTTGCCTCTATTGTTGCCATTCTAGGCCATTAGGGGTTGTCCTGGACAAAGGAGTCAGGAATGTCAACTGAAATGACTCTTAGCGCGGCCATCAAAGGATTTGTTCTGGCTTTGCTCCGAAAATAAAAAAGTTGTCCACTGTGTGTCCTTTTCTTTTGTCCTTTCCCAATTTATATATAGTATGTGTACCTACTTTGGGTTTGTTTGTGCACTTTTCTTTTTTCGGCTCTGCTGCTGCTCCTGTTGTTGTTTTACTAATTGTGCCAAATTAGTTGACAACTTAATGTCGTAAAAATTTCAGCTAAATGCCTCAATCTTTTGTTAATGACATTGACAGCGGTGCAACTTTTTCGACTTGACTTTGGGTCCAAGGATTCGGGGATTGGGGCTTTGAGCACGTGACATCGCTGCTGGAAATACGTGACACTGTCAGTGTCAAATGTGCAAGGACATGGTTCGGGATCCCTCAGTCTCACTCATAGTCTCAGTCCTTTGCCTGTTTTGTATTTACTTTCCATCCCATACAGCTCCCATCCCATAAATTAACTTTGTGTTTGTTGTCCCGAAATTATAATAGTTTAATTAGTTCATTTTGTTGCTTTATTTTCGGTCAGTTGGCCTGACTGCTGCTGACAGTTTCATTAGGCTTTAATTAACTGCCTAAACTTTCGTTAATCAATGTACACGCTGCGTATACTCAATATTTGATCCTTGTCCTTTTCTGGTCTTTTTTTGCAGAGCATGTCAAGGACTTCAGTTGTGGGCCCCTGCACTACAAGACCTTCTACATGGACGAGCCCAACAATGCCCTATATGTGGGAGCAATGTAAGTACAATTTAAGAAGCTCATTTTAAGAATTTCTCAAAACAATCCCCTAGTATTCGAGGTAAAAATCGTTTCTTTACCGGAAATTTTCTTTTCCGGGTGTGTGGAGCAATTAGAAAGTTCCGCTTGAGACAGCGGGTGGCGGATGGCTCCCTACTTGGCAAACCGAACGCATTTGGGGCTGCATATTTCATTTTTCCCCGGGTCCGCCAGCCACACTGTCGGCATACATAATTATGAATTAATGCCACCGGCGAGGGGCAGAGGCGACGGCAGCCCCCCAAGGAGGGAGGGAACTTTCGCAATTTGACAACCAGCGCACCCGTCTGCTCATTTGTCTGCGGCAAGTTGAACACGGCCGCATTTTAACAGTTTGCGGCTTGAAAGGATGAAGGGGCAGTGGCAGGAGGAGCAGGAAGCCCAGAAGCCCAGGCCCCAGGAAGGGGGAGCAAGAGGCGCCACCTAAGAGCGGGAAAACAAAGTAACCAAAATTACCACTTGACTCGTGGACTACCCGCCTCCGTCCGATCCGCGCAACCACAGCTGGCGGCTCTCGTCAGCGATTGCCGGTCGCCTAGAGCCGCCGGCAGGGAAATGAAGATTAATGGTCTTTCGGAGTTGTCGAGGGAAAGCTACCAAAAACTCTCTCTGGGTGCCACCAACTACATAAAACACACTTTAGTGTGGCCCGCCTGCCCCTTTAGGGTTTCCTTTTTGTTTTCCGTGGCGCCGCAAAAGTTTCGAGTGGCCGGAAAGTATTGAGAGAAATGATGGTGCGGCGCTTAAAGCTGTGTCTGGCTCGCAACATTGCCACATTCGACATATCAATCAATCAGGGCACACTGACTGCAATAAGTACGCCGCCCGGCATGACAGCTCCCCCACCATTCAACGCGCCGCGGCACAGCAGGTGTGTGGGCGCCTGACAACAATTTTTCAAACATGAAAGACAAAAAAAACGAGAAATTTCGAAATAATGTCAATGAGCTCAAGTTCGTCGGGGCCAGACAGCTGGCAACTGGTGTGGCATTAACTTATCGCATGATGTGGCACGAGTTGGGGATTACCTCGAGTGTCAGGGGTGACAAACTTTTCCTCTTTTCCATGCTAATTCATTGCTTTGTCTTCTCGCCTTTCCAGGGATCGCATATTTAAGCTCAATCTGCGCAACATCAGTCAATCGGTCTGCGAGGTAAGTAAATGGATATCAAAATTCAAATTTAAGTACAGAAGTTCAGACCCTGAAGACCTTATATAATATCCGCTGACTAAGAAATGGGCATCTTTAAGGATCTGCCGGGCATTGTGAGTGACCAACTTGTCACTGACAGCCAGCAATTGCACTTTAATGATTCCATCTTCAACTATCAATATCCGCCTCTGTCCGTTCAACCATTTTCCGCCACGTCCTTTGCGTTTTTTTTTCATTCTGCGTGGCAGTGTCCTGGCAACCCAGTGCACTATCGCCACCTCCTGAGACGTAGCAAATGCTTTTAACAGCAATTATTTGTGCTGACTTCTGAGCGGGCGGCGGCGGCCCAAAGGAAAGGGAATTCCATTTCAAGTCGAGTCTCTAGCACTTAGATTCGTTGCCAAAGGACTGACACTTTGGGCAAGTGGAAATAAAAGTGGAAAGTGCATCCACACAGCCACCGGATATTGTGTCTATATGTCAGGCATAAAAATTGTCACTCGATGGCTTTTTCCGAACGACCACCACCCTCCCATTGATTTGTGGCTTTCACTTAGGCAGAAGTATTTGCAAGACCAACTCCGAAAGGAGATCCATCGACTGTAGTACAAATGCCGCCAAAATAGCGCAGGAAAAAAGAATCAAATTAAATAAACAAATGTCCAACGTGAGCCACATATTGAGTTCAAGAATTGAGAGGAAAAAAAAAACAGAAAATATAAACGCAAATACAGCGAGGACATGCGAGGATACCAAAAATGTTTGGCGCGTGCTTTCGGTTGAACGAACATCCCCCAGACACATTCCAGCACGCTTTCAATAAACTTGGCTAACATAAATTTAAACTCGATGCCATTTTTCATTCCCACAGCGCGATGTTCTCATATTGGAGCCAACTGGCTCGGATATCCTCAACTGTGTGTCCAAGGGAAAGCGCGAGGTGAGTCGCCCGTAATTTGTATTTCATTATTTGTTTTATCCACCTCGTCAAAGCATGTGCTAAATTGTGTATGAAAAATCAATGAATTTGTGAAACCAAACTCATACCATGCCATTTCCCATTTTCCAAAATGCGTTTCGAAATCACAACCCACTACCAACCACCACCAAAAACCACCACAACCATTTTATTTCCATTTCCATATGATTTTCTAACATTTATTATTACACAAAATGAAACAAAAACACAACACGACAAACTATTCGAATGCAACATTGCTTTTTCGGCGCTGGACAAGAAGGTGGAATGCCGGAACCATATACGGGTCATACAGCCCATGAACTTCAATGGCCAGAAGCTGTATGTCTGTGGCACAAATGCCCACAACCCCAAGGACTTTGTAATAAATGTAAGTATTAAATAAATTAATTCATTGTTTAATTATACATTTAACCTGCAGCCTGTTTATTTTTCCAATAAAAACACTCTTTATTTCTGTAATTTATTTGATAAATGTATTATTTTTTGTTTAAACTTGACAGACTTCATCAATGGCCCTAATTGGGAATGTCAGTCAAGTTTTTGAAGTTCATTTTGGGCCAGCGGGCGGTCGAAATTAAAGTCAACTAATGCGCATTTCGTTCTGCTCTCTCTTTGTCTCTTTAACCCTCCGACGCCCCCGACTCCGATGAACCCTTAGGCAAACTTAACACATTTACCCAGATCCCAGTACGTGCCCGGCATCGGCCTGGGGATTGGCAAGTGTCCCTACGATCCCGCCGACAACTCAACCGCCGTCTATGTGGAGAACGGAAATCCCTTCGGTTTGCCCGCCCTGGTAAGTTCAACCCAAAAAGCGGAAGTGGAAGTAGAATAAAAGTAAGGAAAGGAACGAAGAACGAACGAGGAAGGCCAAGAGGAAGGCACAAATAAAAAGAAAAATGTCAATTGTAATAAAATTACAAAAGTAAAGCGAGGCGATGAAGGAAGTTGGCAAAGTTATATTTTGGGGGCCACCCTAAGAAAAGGAAGGAACGTTTTTAAAGACAGAAAAAAGAGAAAAGGCAGCAATAAAGCAGCTGAAATTAAATTAGAGCAACGAATACACAGGACTCTCACACACACACTCACTCTAACGAATTCTAGGAGGGAGGCACGTGCGTACACTTTATGCGTAATTGTGTGCGTGCGTGCCTTGGCTTACTGGGCGTATGCGTGATGTTAGAGCCTTATCAACAGTTTTTGCGTTTTTGGGCTTTCGGTCTTGCTAACAACAATTCTGTGTCCTTATTCTTGTTACCAAAAATGCAGTACGCCGGCACGAATGCAGAGTTCACCAAAGCTGATTCGGTCATATTCCGCTCGGACCTGTACAATCTGACTAATGGCCGCAAGGAGGCCAACTTCAAGCGAACAGTGAAATACGATTCAAAGCTGCTGGACAGTAAGTTATGCAAAACATTCAACTCTTTAAGACCAATTCTTAAATATATCTCAATGTTTTATTATTTATTTGTAGAACCCAACTTTGTTGGCTCCTTTGAGATTGGGGAGTTTGTTTACTTCTTTTTCCGCGAACATGCCGTCGAGTACATCAATTGCGGCAAAGCTGTCTACTCTCGGGTGGCAAGGGTTTGCAAAAACGATCGCGGTGGAAAGTACATGATCAGCCAGAATTGGGCCACCTACCTGAAGGCCCGCATGAACTGCAGCATCTCCAGCGAGTTCCCCTTCTACTTTAACGAAATCCAATCGGTGTACAAGATGCCCACGGACGACACCAAGTTCTATGCCACATTCACGACAAATACCAATGGGCTTATTGGATCCGCA